ACAAAATATGTTCTCACATGACTCGGGTACAAAACATTCACGTGTCTCGGGTACAAAATATGTTCTTACGTGACTTGGGTACAAAATATGTTCTCGCGTGACTCGGGTACAAAATATATTCTCACGTGACTCGGGTACAAAATATGTTCTCACTTGACTTTGATCCAAAATATGTTACCAAATAACTCGTACAAAATACGTTCCCTCGTGACTCGGGTACAAAACATTCTCACGTGTTTCGGGTACAAAATATGTTCTTACGTGACTCGGGTACAAAATATGTTCTCACGTCACTTGGGTACCAAAAACGCTCTTACGAACCCCACACACTCGGACGTTCTTCACTCCGTGGAGGTCAGCCCTTACTCGATGCGGACTTGAAGTGGATGTCCGCCGGCTATGTCGCGCAAAGATAATTTTTTATGACCGCATATGCGTTCTTGGTGTTGCACAATAAACTGCCCGGTGAGAAACGGTGTTCACATCAAACTGTTTTGTATGAGACACCGACCGCTGCGGGACTGCGCTGCGGGACTGCGCTGCGCGACTGCGTTGCGGGACTGCGCTGCGCGACTGCGCTGCGCGACTGTGCGACTGCGCTGCGCGACTGCGCTGCATGACTGCGCTGTGTGCAGCGCGACAGCCGCTCTCTGTGCAGCGCCGACAGGTATGCGGTGGTTGCCCTGGTGGTAAAGCGTCCAACTAGCTCACTGAACTTGCTAGAATCCATTCGAAAATATTAATAATGTTTCTCGCTGTCCATTGTCTTCATGTCCTTCGCCAGTGTATTAATTTCCCCTTCTTCATCCCTGGTCTGGTTTAATGGCCTTATGTACCACCTTCTTTTCCTTTTTTTAAAGAATATCTTAATTTATTTTCTATATATTTTATATATATATATATATATAATCATTTTAAAGGTAAGCTGCAAGCGATCTCTTCCTCCTTGTCCGTTGACGTATGCACAGTACGCCCGAGTATGTGGGGGACTTTACTTGACTCGGGTACAAAAGACGCTCTCTTGTTACTTCGGCTGCCATCCTCGAGGGGGCGTCAGGTTTTCACCAGAGAACTGATTAAAAATAAATTTAGCCTCAGACATTTTTTTCTTCTGATGTTTCAGGTTTCCTGTGTCCTCAGAGGACAGACTGAAGGTCCATCAGAGTGCTGTGGACCGCCTGGGTCTGGCCTGCTACAATAAAGGTCAGGACCTGATCAGACCTGGGTCACTTCCTGTGATCGGTGCTCTTATCTTGGTCTTTTTTGTCCAACAGGAGCGTTCTCCAGCTTGTTTTACCTGGCCCACGAGTTTCACGATGACCCAAAAGGAGGAATCCTGACCAACACCAACTGTGGAGGTTAGACAAACGTTTGATGTCTCGAGACACGGCCCAGATAACGAGACAGGAAATACGTGTTGAATTCAGACGTTAAATTAGCCAGAGTCCAGAGAGAAAATCTTTTCTAGTCCTCATAGATTTATTTCATGTTGTTCAGTTTTTTTATTAATGACATTTTTTTTTTACTTTTATCCCCAGCAGATAAATATCTGGACCATAAAATATTTAAAACTAATTTAAAAAATATTCTTTGAGATATTTTTTAAGTTCTAAATGTCATTTTACGTTTTATGAAGATTTCCCTCCTTACGGTTGTTTTTAGTCCAAGCTCTTTGCGAGATTTTTTGTCGGTCCCCAGGTGAGAACTGTAACCGCGGGGCCGCGCTCGGGGCCCTGCTGGGGGCCGGGGCCGCCCACATCGGATCCAGAGTCCCACAGGAGTGGAAGGATGAGCTGAGAGACGCCCAGGTGTTCCTCCCCGACATCCTGAAGGAGCTACGATGAACGCAGCGCTGCCCCCTCTAGGAGAGGAGGAAAACTGCAACCTGTTTTATCTCGTTTTGCTCGTTAAACTATTTATTTAAGTTTTTAAATGATGTGATTTAGTATTAATGAATATATTAGGGAGAAACATCAAATATATGTATTATTTATGAAATTTGCAGACTTTATATAAACGTATATGAATGTTTGTGTTTAATTTTATAACCACATACTAATGTTTATGTCTCACCTTTTCAATAAAACAACAAAACAGATTTTATTGTTTAAATCTTTTGAGGTTTTCAGTTTCACACCTACATGTTTTGTTAAAAGATAATGTGTTGATAAATAGGTTCAAATGAACGTGTAATTTTAACCAGAACGCAGGAAGAAGAGTCAACACTGTTTTTCTGTTTGTGTTTCACTCGTGAACTTTGATCCCTTCAGAACAATCATGGCGTTCATCAGCACTGAAACGCATCGTGTCTTCTTCTTTTTACTTATCATGGTTTCTTACCCAGCATGCACTGGGATCTCAGAAGGTCAGTCTTCGTTCCTTTAACTCTTCTTCAGAAACTCTTCAGTCTTATGGCCCATCAAAGACGCTCGGGTGAAATGTTTAAACTCGAGTTTGATATCAGGCCACTGACTTTGTCTGCGTGCGTTTTACTTGTTTACTTTAAAAAAATCTTTTACATAATTTGTCTTAAATTCCAATGAAAATTTTAACTACTGGATATTGATGCTGGAGTAAAAACTGATAGGAAATATTATTATTACCATAAAACATTGAGTTTAATTGACTTAACTGCAAAAAAATAAACGGAAAGTTTCAAATGTTTATTTTAATAAACAAGTATGTATTTAGGTTTAAATAAAATGTGAAATTACAATGATTGTGCATTTGATTCCAGTTAAAACTATAACTGTCTAAACAATGTTTTCTTAGTGTTTTTTTATTTTATTATAAATTCACTTAATTTGAAACACGTTATTTTTGTATGAAATGGTATATTTTTGTTTTCTATAAATTGCAGTCTAATTTTTGTACGAAAACAGGTTTTTGTATTTACGCCCTTAGATAAACAAGATCTAAACTTCAAAAGGTATTTAAATGCATCTTCTCAGATTAACATGCTAGGTGTTTTTAGCATGCTAACATGCTACTTATGTTAGCATGCTAATGTGCTACTTACCGGTATATTAGCATGCTAATAGTTTTTCAAGACGTGACGGAAATTTGTAGTAATATCACATCTATTTTCTTAATTATAAAATAACAAATCAAGCCCACACATTGTCAACAATTTTTAATTGATTTAAATGTGTCTAGTGTTGTACGCAAAAGAATAATTGATCAGGCTGGTGGTGTTGTTGCTCCAGCTGAGGTTGTCATTCAGGTGCACACTCAAGTACTTGTAGCTGGAGACCACTTCCACCACAGATCCTCTTATGTTCAGTGGGGGGTAGGTGTGTTTGTTCCTTCTGAAGTCCACGACCATCTCATTCGTCTTCTTCACATTGCTGTGAAGGTTATTCTCTTTGCACCAGCTCTCCAGGTGTTCCACCTCCTGCCTGTAGCTGGAATCATCATTGTTTGTGATGCATCCCACCACCGCAGCATCATCTACAAACTTTACAATGCAACAGCCTGGATGGATAGGTGCACAGAGTGAACAGGAGAGGGCTCAGCACACATCCCTGAGGGGAGCCAGTCCTGAGGGTTATGGTGGTGGAGGAGGAGAAGTTGTGGATCCTCACTGACTGCGGTTTGTTAAGAAGTCTAGGACCCACCCAGTAAATGGAGGGGCTTAGTCCTAGTGTGAGTAGTTTGCCCATCAGGGTTTGGGGGATCATGGTATTGAAGGCAGACATGAAGTCCAAAAAGAGAATACGGACGTAGGAGTCTCTCTGCTCCAGGTGGGTGAGAGCAGTGTGGACCACAGAGGAGATGGTGTCCTCTGTTGATCAGTTCTCGCAGTATGCATACTGGTGAGGGTCCTTGTAGATAGTTGTTTTGATGTGGGTCATGACCAGTTTTTTGAAGCATTTAGCGACTATTGGGGTGAGGGCTACTGGCCAATAGTCATTCAGACCAGTCACTGTAGAGCTCTTTGGGACTGGGATGGTGGAGGTCTTCAGGCAGGTGGGAACTGTTGCCAGGGTAAGTGAGGAGTTAAAGATGTCAGCCAGCGCCTCGCAGAGCTGATCGGCACAGTCTTTCAGCATCTTCCCGGGGATGTTTTCTGGGCCGGTTGCTTTGTGAGGGTTAATCCTTCTGAAAGTACTTCTCACTTCGGCTGAGGTCACGCTGAGAAGCTCTTCATCCAGTGGTGGGGTGAGTCTGGTGCTGGGCAGTCTGTTCGGGTCTTCAAAGCGTGCATAGAACTTGAGGGCATCAGGCAGTGATGGGTCTCTATGGCAATGTTCACTCTTACCTTTAAAATCTGTTATACACTTAATGCCCCTCCACACGCTCCGTGGGTCTTATGAGGTGAATTGACCCTGGATCCTCTGTGCATATGTAGCCTTGGCCTTCTTAATACCAGCAACCAGCTCTTTCCTTGTTCTTCTCAACTCCTGTGTGTTTCCAGATCTGAAGGCAGTGTTCCTGGCTTCCAGCAGGTTGCAAATCCTTTGGTAAACTGAACTGAAAAAAAAAAACCCCTGAATGTTCCAAACCTCATGACCATAAATGGGGTTTGAACAAGGATGAACCAGTGAATCAAAAACTTTGATTTTCAGCTCAGTTCCTTCTATACCACAACAGACCAGAACAACTCATTATTGCAGACATGGCACCGATCTATCTTACCATCTGGAACAAGACTCCCAGATAAATAAACCCCTCCCCTCCTGACTCAGAGGAAGTATTCCTCCTATTTTCCATTGAAATCATGGCCTTAGACATATAGGAGCTGTGAACCACCCCAGACAAGTCTGAAGGTCATGGTCTGAAGATATCAACAAAATATAATCTGCAAAAAAAAGTAGAAACAAGACCCATAGGGTTCCCTAATCAGACCTCCTCCTTTTCATGACTGAGATCTTGTCCATAAACACCACAAAATAGACTGAGGACAGGACAGCTTTTGCTTTGGTTATTCAGGGACCAGATAGTTCCTTGCAGATGTCCCCAGAACCCCATATGCATGCAGAACCCCCCTACAAAAAGCCCTATGAGCCTTTTCCAAATCCACAAAACGATGAACAGTCAAACAGTCATACTGTATACTGGACAGTAAAATTCCCATGACCCCCTAGCAAATTCACACTGCTCCTCCTGAACTCCAGTTTCAACTAATTTGTAAGACCTTGGAGTTTACTTTCTCAGGTTGGCAAAAAAAAAAGTGTGAACTCTTCATAACTGGAACCCACCACTAGAACCAGTAATTTGGTTTTCATGCCAACAATGTTTGGTCAGGATGATAAAGTTGCAAAAATGTATTATTAACAAAACCATCTCAACAGTTGCTACATTACTTGGCAACAACAGATGAAAACGACCCTGTGGAGATGGAGGATTGTTAATTTTCTTTCTTGTACATATTTTTATAAAGGGGGTATGTTTATGGACAAACACGAGGCCAGTGTATTCTTACATCGCACTCGTAGAGCCAACTTCTTTCTGGAGGAGTTCAGGCAAGGCAACCTGGAGCGAGAATGTGTGGAGGAGAAATGTTCTTATGAAGAGGCTAAGGAGATATTTGCCACAACTCAGCAGCTGGTGAGTATAGTTTCAAATTGATTATTCTTATTTATCTTCCTAAACAAACCATTCATTGTATTCTATTTCTATCCAGGAAAACTTCTGGAGGACATATACAGGTACAGAGGGTTTAACATAACAATTTATTAAGGAAGAACACTATAAATGTGGACATGTTTCCTGGTTGCAGCTGTAGACCACTGCTTATCATCTCCCTGTAAGAATGGAGCAACCTGCACTCGCCACATCGACAGCTACATCTGCAAGTGTCCTCCTGGTTTCCATGGATTCAACTGCGACAAAGGTGCAATCCTCCAGCCACAAATGAAACCTTCCCATTGTTGGCGTTATTGTTAAAACAATCGTTTTGTCTCCATCTGTTCGCAGTGCGCTCAACCTCAGGCAGCTGTCGCAATAAAAATGGAGGATGTGAGCATTTCTGCAGACAACTTCCAAATCGTTCATTTACCTGTTTCTGTGCTCCGGGATACGGCCTGGATCAGGACAACAGCAGCTGTCTGCCTCAAGGTCTGACATAGAATATTATAGTCGTTACCTTTAAGTTAACAATGCTTGTCAACAAATTTATTTCCAAACTCCTGAAACAACTCTGTCCTTAGCTTTCTGCTATCCATGTTCAGTGTGGTACACACTATGATACCAAACAGCACAGTGAGTACTTTTCAGCCTCTAAAACGGCAGAGTGACTAATTGCAAGATTCACGACACCTGCAATGCTTGTTTCTGGACACACAACTTTATCCATGTCTGTGCTTCTTTCAAAACTGTTTATACCAAGCAGCCATTTCTGTTTATTATAATTGTGTATAATCTAGCCTATACCTGCTGACCAAATAATGCAGCCAATTTGAACTCCAAACCATGTCATGGAAACATTCATGTTTGTGTTTTTTAATCACTTGGCTGGAACTTCTCTAGATTTGTCTTTAAGCTGGCACTTTGAGAAAACCAATTTATTCATCCACTAAACCCAAAATGTGGTATTTCAGTTGGTAAAGCTGTTGTCTCTCAGCGAGAATACTGAATCCCGGCCAGGGACATAACTAGGTGGAGTTTGCATGTTCTCTTTGTGCATGAGTGTGTGTTGGCTCTATGTGGCCCGGTGATGGACTTGTGACCTGTTCAAGGTGTCCCCGGCCTCTCGCACATTGACTTCTGGATATGGGCACCAGTGACCCCTGCGTCCCTAAAAGGAAGAATTGGGAAAAATATAATGGATGGATGGATGGATAAACCGGGCAGCACGGTGGCACAACTGGTAGAGCCGCTGCCTCTCAGCGAGCAGGTCCCTGGTTCAAACCCCGGTCCAGGGGCCTTTCTGGGTGGAGTTTGCATGTTCTCTCCGTGCATGCGTGGGTTTTCTCCGGGTGCTCCGGTTTCCTCCCACAGTCCAAAAACATGCATGTTAGGCTGATTGGTAACTCTAAATTGTCCCTAGTGAGTGAGAGAGAGAATGGTTGTTTGTCTCGTTTGTCTCTATGTTTCCCTGTGATGGACTTGCGACCCGTCCAGGGTGTACCCCGCCCCTCGCACAGTGATTGCTGGACATGGGCACCAGCGACCCCCGTGACCCAAAATGGAATAAGCGGGTAAAGATAATGGATGGATGGATGGATAAACCCAAAGTGTGTTTAATAGTTGTAAAGTTCATATGCAACTAGGTGAATATTTGCCAGGCTCATCAAAATATATAAACTAAACAAGATCAAATATTACAAGTCTAATTTCCGTGGTCCAGACCAGTGGTTCCCCAAGTTGGGGTTCAGACCCCAATGTAGGTCATAAAAGACCAGATGGGGGTCCTTTAGTAATATCCAGATGTTAACGTACATTTGCAAAGAATTAAAACTTGCGGCGGCACAATGGATCAGTGGTTAGCACTGTTGCCTCACAGCAAGAAGGTCCTGGGTTCAATCCCCAGTTGGACCTGAGGTCTTTCTGTGTGGAGTTTGCATGTTCTTATCGTGCTTGCGTGGGTTTTCTCTGGGTACTCCGGTTTCCTCCCACAGACCAAAAACATGCATGTTAGGCTGCCGTCAAGCCCAGGACTCCCTTGCAAAAGAGATATGTGATCTCAATGGGATTTGCCTGGTTAAATAAAGGTTAATAATAAAAACAATAGTCATAAATAAATAAAACTTAATATTGTGGCTTGTTTAAATTGTTATTATGCCCATGTTTATTTGGGCTATTTGCCGTTTTGGTACATTTAGACCAGCAATAGATGGGGTCATAAGCCTTCATCACAATCATTTTGTTGGGCAGCAGCTGAAAGGTTTGGAAACCACTGGTCTAGACTGAAAAATGTGTTGACAGATTTATTATTTGAATAGACATAAAGATGTATACATAACTAGCCTATTACTTTTATGATCCAGAATAAAACCTTTGAAATTAGATTCACGACTAAAAGTTTTGCCTTGGTTTCCGTGTTGGTGAACAAAAAGCACACATACAGTATTTAGACTGCTTTTGGGTCAGCAGCGTTCAACCCGTGGGCCTACAAGTTTACTCCAGTCCAGTAGGTGAGAGTAATGTGCCAAGTAATTTCATATCAGGAATTAAAAGTGTTAAAAAAAAAATCACAGTGTTTTGATCCTTGTGGTACTCAAGTCATTAAGTGTACAAATGTGAACAACTCAAAGCAAGTGTCCGAACTGAATACCTTCTTCTAGTGATTTGACTCGTTTTTGTGTGTCGTGTCTTTGGTAACACCTTTTCAATGGGAGTTTTGTTACTGCAATGTCTCTCAAACTTTCTTCTTATAAAGCTAGTGCCAAATAGTACTCAAAAATATGATTCAATTAGTTGTGTGTGTGTATTGACAGTTTGATAATCATTGGTATGAAGCACCAAAGACAACATGCCGATTGTTTTTGTTGTCTGCCTGGTTTAGATTCTGTGGTCTGTGGAAGACAACTCGTGCATTTTGCACCCAGGATTGTTAACGGGCAGATCTGCCCCCCAGGACAGTGTCCCTGGCAGGTAAGTCTAACACACTAGCTCAATACTGTTTAAAATTGTGACTACGGAGTCAGAACCATGTTATCTACACAAAGTTTGTTTTCTCAGTCATCCAGGTATATAACAACAAAAAAGGTTGAATCATGTCATCTGGACTTCGTTTTTTTGTTAAAAAGAAACGTTTCGCCCCTCATCCAAGAGGCTTCGTCAGTCTGAGGCCTAGCCATCTGGTATTACCCAGAAGCCACCCTGACTCTTGTGTTTCAAGCCTGCCTCAGATACCCCTAAAGTCTGGCCTTTTCACTAATGGTTTCAAAAACACAAAGTTTGTGCATGTTATCTACGTTTGTCTCCTATGACAGGCTTTCTTCATTGGTTCATCATCACGTTGTGCGATTCCTGTTGAATTTTCCCCAAACTCAGTTCTTGAGTCGTGCTCAGAATTAAGTTGTATGAAACTGTGTTTCAGTGTTTTTAGATTATTTTTAACCGTTTTCTGCAGCAACAGTAAATATCTATTGTATTTTATTCTGTTCTATTCTGAATGTCAAGGGTAAAAAACCCAAAAACCAAATGAGGTCAGGAGACGAGTACGTCTCTAGTTTCTCTACCAAGATCAATACGGAACGCAGATAAGATGGTAAAACTTTACTATCTAAAGGAAGTGGAAGTGCAAACAATGCTTCTGGTAGAGTCTCAGATTTGTGGCCACCCTACCGTCCATCTAATCACTGTGCTGGAGACTGCAGTACAAGGTTTACCATTTTTGTCGTCTGGGAAACTTGTTGTCCCTTGTCCAATGACAAATAGCATTTTCAAAGTCTTGGCCCGGGTACTCGTAAAAACTTTAAATCAAAGCAACTGGACTTCAGTTCTGTACTTGAAGACATTTTGCTTACCATTTGGGGAACTTTCTCCATTTGAAACTGTAGAGTTTAGAGTTCTAACAGCTTTAACATGCATGAGAAGCTTTATACAGCTAAATACAAAGGCAGGTCTCCCTCCGCTCACTCCTGAGACTTATTCAGGTCTTTGTCTTCCTGGTTCACAGAGACATGTTTTGGTCACATCCATAAAGATCAGAGGGAAACTGACTGTGTATAAGACTTAATGTTCCATTGTAGGTTTTGGAAATCTGAAATGTGAGACCTTCCACTCTGTTTAAAGTTGTTTTTACTTGTTTCATGTAAATGGCTTCTTTGACCCCACTCTTAACACACGTCTTCTCTATCCAAAACATGGACATTTTGGTCTTCAAAAAAGTGTCCGTTATCCTTGAGGGTTAGGTGCGAGTAAAGAATAACGGACAAAATTAGTAGAATAGAAGTCCACTTACGTTGAGTTTAAACTTTTAGAGTTTGCCATGACTTGGATGACTAAGAATCTACTTCAACGTGGATCTAGTTACACACCCAGCGTTTTTGGATAGCCCTTACTAAAGGCGTCTTTTTCTGAAGGCTCATTGAGATTTGACATTGATGATCAGGTTGTAAACAACTGAGATGAACACACGGTACTCATTTCAATACTCGTTTACATCCTGTTGTAAAGCTTTTTCAGTTGATCTCTGGTCTATGGGCTAAAACCATCAAATCTGACTCTTCTGTCCAGAATATTTACAGATAATTATGACTCTTTGAACAGGCTTTGTTAACCGAGCACAACAAGTTCACCTGTGGAGCCATCGTTCTGTCAGATGTGTGGATTCTAACCGCAGCTCATTGTGTTCACATGAAACCTATCGCCATCTTTCATGTCACCGTAGGTAAGACAGAAACTTGGACTATTGTTTGCTTCGTTTAGAAATATTTACTGGCTACTCTTTAATAATTTAACTTCATATTTTGTGTCTTCGTACTGAGCTAATCTAAGATCTGGCACTTTAAAGGTAAAAATGACCTACACGTGCGTGAGAAAACCGAGCAGCAGCGGCGCGTCCTCAAAGTTTTCATCCACCGTAACTATAACTACTCAACCTACGACAGTGACCTGGCTCTGCTAAAGCTCCATCGTCCGGTGAAACTGGGCAGCTACGTGGTGCCCATCTGCCTTCCCGCCCGGAATAGCACCTTCATGCGGACGCTGGCCATGATTGGCCAGTCCACCGTATCCGGATGGGGTCGCTTGCTACAGTTTGGCTCCTCTGCCCGGTACCTGCAACGCTTGGTGGTGCCAACGGTCCATTCACACGAGTGCCGCCTCCACACGCAGCTCAACATCACCAAGAACATGTTCTGTGCTGGGCGGAGAAGCGGAGGCCAGGACGCATGCGAGGGCGACAGCGGCGGTCCGCTGGTAAAGCGCTACAAAAAAACCTGGTTCCTGACAGGTGTGGTGAGCTGGGGGAAGGGCTGCGCCAGAGAAAACATGTATGGCGTTTACGCCAAAGTCAGCAACTTCCTGGAGTGGATTGAGAACATAATTGCTACTGGCTGAAACTGGTTCTGGAGCCTGTAGCTCCCTATTACAAGCTTAATCTGTTTACATAATTAGAACAGTAAAACAATCCAAATGAAATTGTGAATTTAAAAATTGGTTTATACAGACTGTTACCTACTTTTCACATAGTTAATAAAAAAATAAATAAAATCACCATTATTGTCCGATTCTTTAGCTGAAGCTTTGCTATTCTGTACAAAACATTTTATTTTTTCTTATCTTGTTCAACATTCTAGTAATAAAAGGGATATTAAGCATTTAAAATACCGGTAAATAAAACAACTGATGGAGCCTGATAAGTTGTTAAAACAAAAATATACATTTGTTATTAAATCTATGACCGTCATTAGTCAGCAAAATGTTTTTTTTTTTTTTTTGGTTTTTAGATATATGGTGTCAGAAAATGCAAAAAAAAACAAAAAAAAACTGGGGATCACAACCCCCCCGGTCAAATTCAAACAATTTTTTCCTGTCAAAATAGTTCCCCTCGAGTCTAGTGCACTTTCCTATCCATTTCCGCCACATGTCCGTGCACTCCTGGAAGGATTCTCGAGGGATTCTTTGCCATTACAGCCTGCCTTAATGACTTCCACGTCTGGATAATGGGTCCTCTTGATGAGCCCCTTGAGCTTTAGTAAAAGGAACAAAATCACACAAAGCAAGTCGGGTGAGAAGGGAGGTTGCTTTAGCACAGTGATGTTCCTCTTGGCAAGGAACTGCCTGATGTTCAGGAGTGTCTCTTCTTGTGCACTGAATAAAACAAAAACCACAAGGTCTTTATGTAAACATGCTTGATGATCGTCCCGCTTTGTGGCAAGAATTCTACCTGGACAATATACGTCGCATCAAAGAACAACATGAGTATGACTTTGGACTTTGACTGTCTTGCTTTCTTCGACCTTGGCGACTCCAGACTCTTTCACTGAAGGCTCTGGCACTTGGTCACCGGGTTGTACTCGAAGCTTACGGGTGATGAATCTTCCCAGCAAGTCTGGTTCTGTTTAAGATGCTTGAGGATATCTTGACTTCATTCTTCTCCAATCTAAACAGCTAGCTATCAAAGTCTATTTGGAATAAAAAAAACATCCACATATTGCCAGGAAGGTTTTGCATCTGCCCCACAGGCTTGGAGTCGTGTCACTTCCTAATTTCATGCACTATTACTGGGCAGCTAATATCAGAGCTCTACTATTCTGGTCAGGTAAGGATACCCCTTCTCCCAGTTGGGTGGCTTTGGCGAGGGCCTCGATTAGATCCAGTTCCCCCTCTGTATTACTCTGCACTCAGTTGCCTTTTAAACAGCCAATTTCAACTTATACTTCTAACCCAATTGTGATCTGGACTGTCAAGGTTTGGAATCAGTTCAGGAGCGCATTCAACTCCACAGAGTTATTGTTTCTGGCACCTGTGTCAAATAATCATGTTTAATCGCTCTGTAGCTGATACAGCCTTTGATGCCTGGGTCCTCAGGGGAGTGCATTCACTGTGTGACCTCTATGTTGATGATAAATTTGCCTCTTTTGAGTAGCTGGTACAGAAGTTTCATATCCACAAGTCACCGTTCTTCGGATACCTGCAGCTGAGACATTTTGTGAGGTCTAACTCTGATAGTTTTCCTATGTACCCCTCTAAACATTTTGTGGTTAAGATTTTGGAATGCTGGTCTGGTACTAAGGGGGCCCTCAGCAAGATTCATTCATTCAACCTGTATTTATACAGGTTAATCCCATTGAGCCTCGGGGACTCATTTACAAGAGACTTGATTTTAACAGAGTGATGACAACAGAAGACAATCATGAAGAGCATACACATTGAGAAGAACAAGTGAAAGAGAATGGTATTGAAAAAACGAAACAAAAACAGCTAGGTTGTAAGGCGGTGTACAAAACTAAAAACAGGAACATGTGTGCATTCATTTCTGCCAGGAACTTAGTTGTTTGAAGCCACTTAGAGAGGTCAAGGTTGAGAGCTTCAGATCTTTTTGCAAGATATTCCAGGCAACAAACCTAAAAGTGATTTAAAGATGAAAATGTAATAGTGCGAGAGTCTACGTGAAGTTAATGATGACCAGTTAACCAGTGAATACAGGGTGTAATGGTGGGTACGGTAGTTACAGCCAGTTATGAATCTTAGCGCACCATGATAGACAGCGTCCAAAGATTTATGCACTTCTCAGTTCAAACCATGGGACCAGTTTGGACTCTTTTCAACTGAAATAGGAAATGGACTTGGAGGAATCCATATCAGACTCAATCTGGCGTAAGATCATTCAGAACATTTATTAATCCTCAATCCGTCTGAGACTTGCTGTAAAGAAACTCCAGCTACGCTCTTACACGCCGAATCAGCCACACAGACACGAACACATCAGACAGGCATTGACATAGTTTCAACATAAGACATAAATGGCTGCCAAGTGTCCCAAAATATCTCAATAGAACGTTTCAGAGTATATCTAATCTTTTCCAGATGAACATGACACGTCTTCTCTTATCCAGTGTTCATACGCTAGGGGATGCGGATCCTTCCATCTGCATAAAATAAGTCTCCTGGCTAGAAGAGAGCCATATTCCTCTTATACTTGCTGAAGGATGCACAGGGGCCACCCCAAACAATGAAGTGACTGGTAACGGTTACACAGTTTTTCCACATATTGCCAATAGGTCCGCAGCTTTGGACAAGTCCAGAACGTGTGGGAGGGGATTTTCTTGTTTTTTTTTTGTCTGTGTGTTCTGAAAAGAAAATTCAATAAAAAGACTTTGATTTAAAAAGGATTTTCCAAAAGTGGTTAATAATCTTCTGCGCCTGTGTCACCAGTCAGTTTACATTTCATCAGTCAGTGTATCCCCATGTTATCATAATGGGACTAATGTTTGGACTGATTGTGGTGGGTAAAGCAGACTTTGTACCTTCATGTCCACAAAGACGAAGAACAGCGGATTTCTGAAAACATCCACTATGCTGCCGAGAGTCTTCATCATCTTCATCTTCAGCCTTCAGAGCTGCTGGTCGGCTTCAGGTGAGGAAAGGTCCAAACTTCATTCATCAGCCTTTTAATTTAGGTAAATTTATCTGACAAAACTTTCGTTTGCTTGGTTTGAGTTATTGACAAGCTTGTTAGCAGCTAAATGCTAACACAGAAGTTGCTAAAATCTACTTGTAAAACATCATGAAAATGTTTCCTCTAGGTGTCGCTACAGAAAAAGCTGTTTGGAGCCAACAGTTCTTATGCAAATATTTTTGAAACAAATGCAACGCTACACATCTTGTGGAAGAAAAACACTTATGTTTCTCATCACAAATGAATTTCAGTTTAACATAGAGTGGGATAGAAAGAACCAGTACTTGTTTAAGCAAAATTAAACGATAACATTTCACCATTGGCATCAGAAGCATTTGTAATGTCGAGGGGACACACTGGGGGGGTCCTCCCCTAAAAATTTTTGAATATATGCTATTTCCTGCATTCTGGTGTATTTTAACATGTTACATAATGTTTATCTACGCATGTAAACATTTGATTCAATAACTATTTTAGAGTTAATGGCACAACAAAAGTCTGACCAACAGCTGTCCTTGTGTGAATAGAGCACACTTTGCTTCTCTACCAGCACTAACGTAGCGCAAAGCTAGCAGCATGTAATAAATGTTACAAATACTAGCTAAGATGCTACAGATGTAGCAACCTGCTTTTATCACACAGCCTAACCCCACCCCGGTCAACAACTACTGGCACTAATGTAGTTCTAAGTTAGCGTGAAACACAGAGGTGTCTCCTCCTCCTCCCCCTGTGAGCGCCTTGCCAAGGCAGACCACTGAGGGGAAATACTGCATGTGGTATGGAGTTTGTAGGTAACCAGGAAAACCCGGAGTGGACTTCAGTAGTTTGAGTATTCTCCTATAAAGTGGAATGGATTTGTTCATGAAGAAATGGAAACAGCACTGGGTGAACTAATATTTCATGGTAAATGTGAGGGGGATCTGAATGAATATTTTTTAAATGTAGGGGGGACACGTCCCCTTCACATATAGGCCTAATTGTTGCAACAACTATGGATTTCACCATTATCCTGTTGAACTCTTTGCTCCGTTGGTGTTCGTCAGTTTTTCTGGACAAACACCAGGCTTCTGGCGTCCTGGTCCGGACCCGCCGGTACAACACCGGCTGGCTTGAGGAGATGAAATTGGGAGATCTGGAGAGGGAGTGTTTGGAGGAGAAATGCAGCTTTGAGGAGGCCAGAGAAGTGTTTGAGCACACAGAGACCACGGTGGGTCACGTTACGAGTGGTTTCACCACTCAGAACTCTGCCAGGATTATTTCATACAAGATGTTTCTGTTTTCCTTTCCTCAGAATGAATTCTGGAAGACATACTCCAGTAAGTAATCATTTTCCTTCTTTATTTAATTTAGTTCTCTCTCTAAAAAGAAAAGGTAGAACACCCTCTTCGGTTTAGGGTGCAGGGGACTTGAAGTGCAATAGTCCCTCAGTTATCGCGGGGGTTACGTTCCAGACACCACCGTGATAGGTGAAAAACCGCGAAGTAGGAACACTATTTATTTTAGTATTTATATATATTGTAAGGCTTTATAAACCCTTCCCACACTCTTGCTATGTTCTAAACTCTTAAACCTATGTAATTTTAACAACATACATATATGTACTGTACAGTACAGCAAAATTTTACTCACCAGCTCTGCAGACCAGCAGCTCAGTTTGCGGTTGGGTTCGGTTCTGGCTCGGCAGACCTACTCTGCAGCGACGAAGCCCACCGCCCCGTCCAGGTTGATGTGAGCGTGGATAATTGAGCTTCAGGACTATTTGCTACTTTCCTGCCAGTTCTGTGAGCTTAATGGATAGATTGTTACTTCTGACTTTGCGTTACAAAACTTTCCCTCCATTTCGACAGAAAGCAGTGGCCAGAAGCACTGTTGGCTTCTGGGTAGTGTAGTTCTTTTGACGTGCGATACAATGTAGACTTATCGAAATGGTAAATGGACTGTACTTATATAGCACCTTTCTATCTTATCAAGATACTCAACATGCTTTATACTACAAACTGTGTCCTCATTTACCCATTTACACAGCCCTCTACTATATCTGTACAAAGATTAATCAGTGCTTTGTCACATTCATACACCAATGGGACACACATCGGCGGCAGTGAGGGGTTCAGTGTCTTGCTCGGGGACACTTCGGCATGTAACTGCTGGTGGAATTGAACCCCCAACTTTCGCATTGGAGTACAACTACTCTAACCACTCAGCCACAGCCGCCAAACTAAGAAAGAAAACTAAAAATGATGGCGCCTGTCCGAAGTATTTTTTTATTCCATACTGTCCCAATCACACAAGTAATTCTAAAGCGGACAATTGTGTGTGTACAATCTTACATTGAATAACCGCGAAAGAGCGAGTCCGCAAAAGTCGAATTGCGAAGTAGTGAGAGACTACTGTATCTAGGAACCTTGTTCCTGAGTGATAGAACGAGAGATGGACAGACTAATCAAGGCCTCATCTAGTAATTTTCATTTATTTTTTATTTATTTCATTTATATCATTGAGCCACGAGAACTCATTTTCAAAAGAGAAATGTTTGGAAGCAGAGGCCGTGCTCAAGGGTCCAAATTGGGGCAAAGGAGGGTGGAGGCAGGTTTTTCACCATTTCCACCCACATTTTTTGATGTCAGTCCAGGGAGTCAAATTGGTGACCTTCCAATCACAGGCCCACCTTCTCTAACCTCTGCACCACCACTCTCAACCAATTGCATATATGTAGAGGACACCTTCGTGGGAAAGGTATAATGAGGGCGTTGCTCCATTCTGTAGGTGATTTACTGGTCTGGTTTGGCCCAGGTCTGCAAAACTCAGATCCTTTGAAGAGTGGTCAGGCTCAGCCTTAGGGAACAGGTAAGGAGCTCCATCATTTGGGGGGAGCTCTGAGTAGAGGTACTGCTCCTCCTCGTCAAAAGAAAGTCATTCGAACATCGGGTTTGATCCCTGTCTGCACTGTCTTTGTCCATAAAGTCCCAAACAGCTGTAAGTCCGGACCCTGCCAGAACGGAGGTACCTGCGTCAATGAGGGGTCGTCCTACACCTGTCTGTGTCTTCCTCAGTTCACAGGACTCAACTGTGAGCTTGGTGAGCATGAATGAAAAATGTTAAATGTTTTAAAAGCAATTTACATAAAGTTTCATTCAAAGGTTTAACAGGTCCCAAATATAAACAAGTCTCAAAGTTGTGGAAGGAGATAAAGCTGAGAAAGTCCAATAATAAAATTTTTTGAGTCTGTTGTCCTTTAAGATATTTAATTATCTATATTAAGCCAAGAAAAATATTTCTGTTGTTGTTGTTTAGAACACAGGACAGAGTCCGACAGTTGCTTGCTGCAGAATGGAGACTGTGAACATTTCTGTGAAGAAGACGCCAGTGGACGAAGAGTAGCTTGCTCATGCGCAGACGGCTACGTGTTGGACGCCGATGGTCGGCGCTGCAACACTAAAGGTTTTTAAATGGTTGGATCTTTGATAAAGTTGCTTCAAGGTTTGTAACGAGAACATCTATAGTCCTGGTATAAACAACAAACAAAAACAGTCCACTCACCTTCAGTTCCAGGGTTAAAACTCCGGGGTTTCTTTCTGGAATGGTCTTTACCAGGTTTTAAACCGAGCCAAATCTGAAGTGAGCAAAAACACAACAGATTCCACCGAGTTCTTATTTATCAATCAAAAATGGGTTCCGGCAGACTGAAGAACATTCTTTAACAGCAAGAACACACAGTAGTGGTTCTCAAAAGGTCATGGATCAATCTGGGCCTATTCTTCTGTCCAGTGTTGCTTCAGTTCATGGAGGTTTGCAGACAATGGTTTCTGTTCAGCTCTCAGAGGGTTCCACTGCAGCATTACAGCCCGGTTGAGGTTCTGGACTTTAACTGGATTGTCGCAGCACCTTGATTCTTTTCTTTTTGGACCATTCTGTTGTAGATCTCTCTGTTTGTGATCAATGACTGTTGCATCAGGACCCTGTTCAGTCCAAACTTCAACTATCGGACAGATGCCCTCACATTTGACTCTCGATCAGTAGTTCCAAAACTTTAGCTTCTGACCCATAAATAAAATAATATAAAAAAGCAGCAGAGACCTAAGACCCCCCGACTATGAACGGTTGAATGATGAATACATGATTTGGGAAAAAAAATACCGGTAATAATACAAAGAGTTTGATCCTTTTGATTCATTTTAAAACTTTATATCTTAACGATTGTGGCCAAATACCCTATTTAGCTAAACGTTTTTAATTTGTTGAGTATCTGAAGATCATTTTTAGACCTTCAACTCGATTTTTTTGTGGCCCACTGTTTAGTCCTGACCTCAACTTTGACTCTGGATAGAAGCTTTGATCAACAGAGCTGCCCAAGACCTGTGACTGCAAAACAAACCCAAACCATCAGCCCTCCACCCCTGTGCCTCAGTTAGTACGAGGTGTTTGGTATTGTTTTGTTCAAGAAGTCTTGTGGTTCCATCTATGCAGTTATCTATCTATTTTCTGACATTTGTTCAAGAGTTGGGTTGTGGGGGCAGCAGCTTGACCAGGGAGGTCCAGACATCTCTTTCCACTGCCACCTCTTCTGAAAGAGGTGGCTACACCTGTCTATGCCTTCCTCAGTTCACACTCTTCCCAGGCCAGCCAAGAGACGGTCTCTCCAACATGTCCTGGGTCTTCCCCAGGTCTCTTTCCAGGTGGAAATGCCTGAAACTCCTCCCTAGGGAAACATTCCCTTGGATGAAATTTTACAAACCTAAATTGTGCTGCCATTTTCTTTTACAGAGAAGAGGCTTTTTTCTGCAACACTTCCAAACTTACCACACTTTGAGATGAGGTAGAGGTATGCCAGTTGACTTGGGACCAGAAAGTTGCCATTCAACTCTCAGCCATTCCCACAGGTTGTGGTGTCTCTGAACAAGACACCTAATCCCAAATTGCACCCCGGGCGCTTTCATAAATGCCCATTGTTCCAACTGGGCGTATCTCACATCTGATGGGTTAAATGCAGAGAACTAATTTTGCCGATGTATGGGAACATACGATGATGACAATCTCAGACTTCCCCTTCCCTTTTTTCTAATTGTCCTGCCATAACTTGTGTTGATCCCCACACTACACCAGTACAGAGTTCTGAAAATAGCCCTCTGTACAAAGAATCTTTGCGCTCAAAGTGTTTTGCACTAATGAGATTCACAAGACTGCTTCGGCCAATGGCGGAGTGACTGAGCCCAATTTTGTTCTTCTGGATGCCAAACTCAACCTCCTCTAGCCTAATAGTCAACTGAGGGGTTTACAAATCTACTGCCAGCCATGTTCGTTAATGAAGGCTTACTCTTAAATGATTGTTGCACTTGTTATGGTGTTAGGAATTAATGTAGTGATCTGGACTGCAGGGCCCCAGGATTCAGTTTTAATACTTCTATCTACCAAAATGCTTGAATATAACTATCGAAGTATATGTGGCAGAAAATAGTTAAGAAGTAAGAGCAGGATGTAACTGACATTTTGCTTTAAAGATAAATAATCATTAAGATTGAAAAATTGTAATTGTAAATATCTATTTATTTCAGAGCCAATAGCTTGCGGGACAGTTCCTGTCTTGCAGGGAGCAAACAAAGAGGAACACCTGAGAATCGTGGGAGGAACCGAGTGTCCAAAAGGTGAATGCCCCTGGCAGGTAGGTGGAAGTTGTTGCTTTATTTTATGTAGACCGTTTGTTCTGGTTTACTAGTAACTAACAAATCAAAGAGCTAATATAAATGAACATTTTTAAGACTGAAAATGTCAACAGGGGTGGAAGACCTATAACAAATGAGACATTCAAAAGGATCAAACCTTGTAGAGTTTTTAAAATCCACAACATTTTTGTGGTTTGATTTTTTTTTGTTGTTGTTGCAATTTGTCGTTTAAAGGTTTTGCTGGTGTATAAAGACAAAGGGTTCTGTGGAGGAGTGATTTATAAACCAACATGGATTCTCACAGCATCTCATTGCCTGGAGAACACTCAACCACAGTTTCTGAAAGTCATTGCAGGTACAAAACCCTCCGGTCAACAGCAAAGCAACAATTAAGGAAGATATATTACTCCAAACCTTTAATTATAGGAAATCTACAAGTTTAAGTTATGATAATGGGATGTATAATGTAGACATTATACAGCTCAAAATATTGTCAAACATTGCCCTGAAAAGTGCTTTGAAACCGTTCTTTCTTTCCCCCCACATTTTTTCAGGTGAACACAACATTAACGTTAACGAATCCACGGAACAGGTCATCCAGGTTGTTGAGATTATCATGCATGAGAACTACGTGATAAGGACTGTGGACAATGACATCGCCCTCCTCCGGTTAGCCTCTCCGATAGTCTACTCCCCGTACGTTGTCCCGGTCTGCCTGCCAACACGACCGTTGGCCGAACGCGAGCTGTGGGCGGTAGAATGGCACACGGTGAGCGGCTGGGGCAAGCGAAGCGAGAACGGGCCCACCTCGGTCCTCCTCAGGCGCACCAAGGTGCCGCGGATACGAACCCAGACCTGTGTGGAGGAGAGCGGTGTGGCACTCACCACGAACATGTTCTGTGCCGGATACCTGGATGGAAGGACAGACTCATGTAAAGGTGACAGCGGTGGACCCCTGGTGACCCAGTACAAGAAGACCGTGTTCCTGTTGGGAATAGTCAGTTGGGGGAAGGGCTGCGCCCGACCGGGCAACTATGGAATTTACACCCGAGTGTCCAACTACCTGGAGTGGATCCAGAACCGTACCGTAACTCCACATCTGCCCAAAAACACTACAAATGGCGCACTGACCAACCTGACCACCTGAAGGAATGCAGTTCTGCTTAGAACCAACGGTTAACGTCTAATTCCATAATTTTCCACAAATGACAGAGTATTAAAGTCTTGTTTGAAAATAATTTGTTGTAGGATTCAGTTCTGTTCCTTCAGCAGCACTGAATAAGCAGATGTTTACAATAAGCTTCCGGAAACACTGGGAGTGCCGGTAAATGTCAGTTTTCTCTATTCTTATCTTGTATCCGCATTCTCGTTCTTTCGATCATTACCCAAATTTCGTGACATTAGGTGAAGATTGGAACGTAGACTGATCGGTAAACAGAGCTTCGCCTTACAGCTCCCTCTTCACCATGACGGACCGGCAGAGAGTCCGCAATACTGCTAAGGTCGCACCACTCCATCTGTCGAGCTGATCCTCTATTTTTCACTCACTTGTGTTCAAAACCCATAGATTCTTGAACTGCTCCACTTGAGGCAGAACCTCACTCCCAACCCGGAGATGATCATGCCAAAAAATACAGCGAGGTCCAAGACTTACAGGAAGATAATGTCACAAAATATTTCTTAATTGTAGCCTCTTTCAGCTTTTATCATCATTATGAACTGTAAATAGTCTGAATTTTTAATGTCGAAATGAAATTCCTACGATACGTTGTTTACCTTAGGGTTTAAAATATGACGATCTACTGGTAATCTGTTGCTCAGACTTTGTGGACTAACATTAATCTTGTGGGAGCAACATTTAAACATTTCAAACTAATTAAGTGAAAAAGGCGGACTAAACAAACGCAACGCACAAATAAGTCAACAACAACAAAAACAAACAGTGTCCAGAGAACATTTCCACCAGTAACTGTGTATAGAGAAAATTCAAGATAGGTAAAATCAGTTAAGAACAATTATTCAATACTCTTCTCCCACAGTGTTTGAAAACTTTATCAGAACAGACAATGTGAGCATTTCTGTGACAATTCAAGGAAAAGACACGAATGACAGTTACCAGCTGAGAGAAGATAGACAATGTTGCGTCGGCCAAGATAACAAACTCCGTGACCAATTGTTGGACTTCCTGCTTCCACAGATTCAGCTTACTGAGGTGTACTAGTCATTGCACTATTTATGGAAGCCCATTTCTGCTATGCAAGAAAAAATAAAAGCCCAACCGGAAGTCATAATTTTGACTTTTAAAGTCATAATTACGAGAATAAAAGTCATAGTTTCAAGTTTTAAAGTAATAATTATGAGAATCGTAATTATAACTTTAAAAGTTGTAATTATGACTTTTATTCTCATAATTATGACTTTAAAAAACTCAATTATGACTTCCTGTCGGGCTTTTATTTCATGGCGGAAATGGGCTTCGATACTAAATGCTATATAAAGTGGCAATGAAAAGATTAGATACCTTTATTTAAAAGGATTGATGTTTGAAGACAGAGGGACATGCATTGAATGAATGAATCCATGTGCTATGCAGGAAAACTACCAGTGTCTGACAGGAAGTTGCATCCCTGTAGAGTCATGGTGTCCGGCAAAGGACAAACTTCAAAATGAAATTAGAAAAGTCGAAATTATGACTTTAAAACTCGAAATTATGACTTTTTTTCTCATAATTATGACTTTAAAAGTCAAAATTATGATTTTAAATGTCAAAATTATGACTTTTATTCTCATAATTATGACTTTAAAAGTCGAAATGATGACTTCCTGTTGGGCTTTTATTTTTTAACCCTAACCACTGGATTTTTATGGTAAAGATTTTCTTGTTGCAGCGGAGTTTCCTTGCAGTCAAGTTGCTCCCGCAGAACCCGGACTAAACCAGAGCTGTGGTTCAGACCAGGCTGGTTGGAGCCAATCACTGTCCAAAGGGAAGTGTCCTCGCCAGGTAAATTTCACCTGAAGTCTCAGTCAAGCTCCTGCAGCCAGCGCCCCCTGCAGGCTGGAACCAGGACCAGACTAGTGGTCCGACAAGATGGCTGATTTATAAAAACTTTGGTTTTTAACAGATTGTCTTCGTTAATATTCAGAAAAAAAATCCTGATTCTGTTGAATGGAAAGGGTCATTGTAGAGTTCTGATCCACCCAGACTGGGTCATCATCGCAGCCCACGGCAACATAATTTTATAAAATCAAATGTTAGCATGTAATGTTTAAATTTGACGTTTAAATTTGACTTTTTTTTTGGACACAACAAATTTTATTCATTAAAGATGTGACGATGTTAAAATAAATTTTTAAAGCAGCTTAATTTTTTGTTTTTGTTGTCAAATTAAGATCGTCCTGCAGATAGTTTGTGTTGTTACACCCAGGGGATCATAACATAGCCGATGAGGAAAACATGGAGCAGAAGATTCCTGTTTCCACGGCGATTCCCCGCAAAAATTACAACAGAGTAACTGGCGACAGCGACGTCGCCCTGCTTTGGTCGACTTGCTCCATCACTGAATCAATACGCCGTTTTGGTCTGCCGTCATACCAAAAGTTTTGCTGGGGCAAGAGGACGTTCAGGGGGCGACGCCGACACCTCATCCGCTCCGGTGTTCCCTGTCCTCCGCAAGATGTTTGTCCCCATCATCCAGAATTGCCAGAAAGCCCATTTCAGGTTGACCACCAACATGCTGGACACCAGGAGTGTACCAGGTATGGTAATCTAAATGATAAGTCAGAGCGTGTCCGTGCCCCTGGAGGTGGGTGGGGTGAGGGGAAGTTGGGTGATGCAGGCTCAAGGGTTGGGGGTGGTGGCAATGGTTGTTTGCCAAGGGCACCAAAACAGGCTAGAACCACCCCTGACTGAGACATTTATTTTCTGAACATGACGTCCCAGTGGCTTTCAAACCATCCATCCATCCATCCATTTTCTTTACCCGTTTATTCCATTTTGGGTCACGGGGGTCGCTGGTGCCCATGTCCAGCAATCACTGTGCGAGGGGCGGGGTACACCCTGGACGGGTCGCAAGTCCATCACAGGGCCACATAGAGACAAACGAGCCAAACAACCATTCACTCTCTCACTCACACCTAGGGACAATTTAGAGTTACCAATCAGCCTAACATGCATGTTTTTGGTCTGTGGGAGGAAACCGGAGTACCCGGAGAAAACCCACGCATGCACGGAGAGAACATGCAAACTCCACCCAGAAGGGCCCCTGGACCGGGGTTTGAACCAGGGACCTGCTCGCTGAGAGGCAGCAGCTCTACCAGTTGCGCCACCGTGCTGCCTGGCTTTCAAACCCCAAAATACATTACGGCAAAGACTGGTCCATCCCAAATATCCAGTCCCACGGCACAGAGTAACGTTGTGTATGCTGTTCAGTGCCAGGAAGGCTGCGATCAGTCTTACATTGAGGAAAGTACACAGCCACTGGCCAAAAGGATGGCCCAGCACAGAAGAGCAACATCATCAGGCCAGGACTCTGCTGTCTACAACTCATCTGCAGCAGTCACTCTTTCAGGGATGAAGATGTTCACAGACAGGAACGTTGGTTTGAGAGAGGAGTGAAGGAAGCCATCTTTGCAAAGAGAACTCATCCATTAAACAGGGGCGGAGGCCTCCGTGTCCTTGGCCACCTCTTACAATGCTGTTAATAGTATCACTAATTATTTAATGTGCTTTTTTTTTTTTGTTGTATAATTGGCAAATACTACTGGATGTGTTGAATTTCCCCATTGGAATGAACCAACGAACCAACCAACAAAACCAACCAGCCAGCCCACCCAGTTATATCTGGATGTCACCAGCAAACTGATCGATCCACTACGAGAAGGGGCTGTTTCTAAGACTGAGTTTGCTGCAGTGCCTCAGACTGAAGAAGTCTTCTGGATAAAAGATGAAACGTTCCAACGAAGTAGAATCCATCCAGAGGACTTGACTTAACCTTGCTAGTTTTTAAATAATGACGTATAGAAACTTAGATAGGCAGTAAGACTTTTAAATATTTAGAAAACCTCACCTCATCAAGTCACAAGTTTTAAAACTTTATCACGTCAGCTGCCAGCAGTGGTGTTTCCTGAAGCAAAGCACTGTGGGAGTTGCAGTTTTCTCCTACAGTTGTGATGGAAGTCAAATATTTGTAGCATGAAGGCCGAATGCTTGAGATAAACCCTCCCCCAGCCCAAACCTTCCTCCCCCAGCTCGGGTCGTTGCCCTCTCTGCCTCCGTCTCGTTTCTCCACATTCTGACTCCGTTACTTCAGCTCGGCACAACGAGGTTTCTCCGACCAGCCGGGACCATGTTCTCGTGTCTGAGACTGTCCCTGGGCCTCCTGCTGCTTCACCTCACCACCGCTCACGGTATGTTCTGTCCAGTCCAGATTCAGCTGTCAGGACTGAGGAATGTCGAGCGTTAATGGAGAAGAAGCATGTTGAGGGTGTTTTCAGAAAGGGGGGTGGAGGTATGGGGTTGATTGGCAGGTAGGGAGTGACACTTGACCTTGTGATGAGTGTTTACAGCAGTTTGGAATCTGATAAACTAATGTCTGGGTATGATTGAAGTGAGCTATGATCTTTTTTCAATCACATGATGTAAAACTGTTAGACAACCCACTAAAATAAAATGTAAACAGTTCAGTTCTGTCCAAAACAAACATTCAGGCACCTTAAAGGGAAGACAACCTAACCCAAACATCCTCCTGATTTTGCAACAGAAAGGTTACAATTACAAGACGGTATGTCTGAACATGGGACTAATTCTTCCACAAATTCTCTGTCACCAGTTTTTTTGGACGAGCAGGCGGCCAGCCAGGTTCTGATCCGGCGGATACGCGCCAACCACTTCTTTGAAGAGGTTAAAAAGGGTAACCACGAGAGGGAGTGCGTCGAGGAGCGTTGCAGCTGGGAGGAAGCACGAGAGATATTTGAAGACAAAGAGAAAACTGTATGAAGCTCTATCACGTGAAGGCACACAACAGTGAAGAAAACTCTGATGTTTTCCATTAATTTGTTTGTTTTTTTCTCTTTTCAGAATGAGTTCTGGGCCGTTTATGTTGGTAAGATGGTGATTCCTCAAACCCAACGTTTTAAGAAACAGGAGTTTTTGAGGTCAACCTGCTCTTCCTGCAGATGGCGACGCCTGCAAGTCGAACCCATGTGCTCATGGAGGACAGTGCAAAGACGGGATTGGAAGCTACGCCTGCTACTGCCAGGAGGGATACAAGGGCTTCAGATGTGAAATCGGTACCGAAGTCATAGTTCAGAAGAACACTTTTCGTGTTGGGTTATTTTGGAAGAACTTAAGGCGAAAATCTTCCACCTCCTGAACTGATGAGGTTGTGTTGAACAACATGGTCAAGAACAGTTCCAATGCAATTTGCAGATCAAGATCTTAGTTTCCATGTCACCCCTCAAGGTGTTACAGAAGACATTTAGCTATACAGTATGTTGTTGTTTTTTTCTTATAAAACTTCTTTCAGCTTGTCCCTCTTCAGGGGTCGCCACCTCCATGTCCTCTCTAACTGCATCCATATATCTCCTCTTTGTTTTTCCTGGCAGCTGCTTTTTTAACATTATTCTACCAATATACCCACTGTCTCTCCTCTAGACATGTCCAAACCATCTCAGTGTGTCCTCTCTAACTTTCTCTCACAGTTATTCAACCAGTGCTGTACCTCTGATGATCTCGTTCCTAATCTTATCCATCCTTGTCACTCCTAAGGAGAACCTCAACATCTTCATTTCTGCCACTTCCAGTTCTTTCTCCCATCTTTTTGGCAATGCCACTGTCTCCAGACCATACAACATCTCACCACTGTCTTGTAAACTTTTCCTTTGACCTTTGCTGACATCCTTTTGTTGCAAATCACTCCTGAAACTTTCCTCCATTCACTTCAAATTGCCTGGACTCTCTTTTTCACCCCTTTACCACACTCCCTATTTTCCTGGACAGTGGACCCCAAGTATTGAAGTCCTGCACCTTTGTGACCTCTGCTCCTGAGTTTTTCTTATAAATAATATTTATATTTTTAGTTTTTGTAAACATCTAAGAATCTATAGTCTAAACCAGTGGTCCTAGACTCTGGTCTTCAAGGGCCACTATCGTTAAAGCACTGGACTAAACTTTTAAATTGTAACTTTTTTACGTAGAGACATTTTTACTTGTGTTAAATAAAGTGAAGCACAAACAATAAAACTGGAAAATTCTTGCAGATTTATGTCTGGGATGAGAAAAAGTTGTGGAACCCTAAATTTGTCCCAAGATTTATGACGATTGAGATTAGACAGATCGTTACCCTGCCTCAAAAACCAGTTCCTAAAACCTTCAGTTTTTGCGTTCTTACAGCTCATGTCCGACTGAGTAGTTTCTTGTCTTCACTGTAATTTCTGTATCCTTGCAGTTATTCCTGAGCTCTGTGAAAACAAAAATGGCGGCTGTGAACACTTCTGCAATGTTGACGGCGGAAACGTTCGGTGCTCCTGCGCTGACGGATATTTTCTGGCACCGGACGACAAATCCTGCATGTCCAACAGTAAGAGAAGCTAAGGAGTTCATCATCATCATTATCATCCAGCTTGATGTCAAACTAAAGACAGTTGCACCTTTTGCTGTTGTTCCTGGAACTAAACTTGCTTCTCAAACCCGTGCAGAACCTTTTAAATGTGGTGCCATCGTATCCGACAGCGTCCGGACCATTTTCCGATATGAGCGACAGAACGTCTCGGAGACGAACGTCACAGAGCTGAAGGCCGTCACAAACTCCACAGAGGCAAAGCAGGAGCTCCTTGATCCGTCCTCACCAGCAAACACCAGCCAGATCCGGTCTGATGACTTTATTTTTGAAAATAAGATAGTCCCTCAAAGGGCCACGCAAACTCGTATTGTGAACGGAGAGGACTGTCCACCAGGACAGTGTCCATGGCAGGTAGTCTCACCAACTCCCTGGGATGTTTTATGCTGTTGTGTTCTTTATTGTTACTCGTCCACGATTTGTCTCATTGTCTCAGGCTCTCATCCTGAATGAGGACAACCAAGGCTTCTGTGGAGGGACGATCCTTAACGAGTACATCATCCTGACCGCCGCCCACTGCATGAACCAATCACATTACATCTCCGTTAGACTTGGTGCGTCCAACAAGCCAAAACACTGAGCTCAATCCAGTTTTAATCACGTTTATGACAGTCCAATTCAATCTTCTTGTATTCCATTTCAGTCCAATTACGCTCAGTCAAAATCAATCCAGTTATAACACTTATCCCATTAAAACCAGTCCAATTTAAACAGATAGTGGCAGTTCTTAATCCAGTTGGCTACGGTCCAATTCAATCCAATTATAACCTATGAAAATTAAATTAGAAACAGCCCAATTTAATTTGATAGTGACAAATGTTACTCCAGTTAGATATAGTCCAATTAGATCTACTAAAATTCAATTAGAACCAGCCCAATTTAAATTAATTGTGCCCAATTTCAATACTATTAGAAATATTCAATTCAATATTTTATTCAATGCGAGTCTAAATTAATACATGTACAGTCCAATTCGATTCATTTCAGTCTTCTTTAATCCCACTTCAATCCAGATAGATACATTTAAATTTTATCCAATTATACCTATTGAAATTCAATTGGAACCAGTCCAATTTAAACTAATTGGGTCCAGTTTTATTCCAGTTTGGTACAGTAATTTATTACATTGGCTACAGACCAATTCAATTCAATCTTTTTATATACAGTTTCAATTGAGTTAAATAAAGTCCACATCAGTTGAAGTATAATCTATTTAAATCAATTTAAAAGCCAGTCAAATTTAAAGTAAGATATTGTATCTGTCCAATTCAACACAAATAAGATAGGGACAGATAAGTTCATTTATACCATTTTTCAGGGATTTTTCTTAAGTCCAATTCAATACATTTATATTCAATTTCCATCCAAATAAATGCATTTAAAATAATTTTATTAGAGTTCAGTCCAATTCATTGCATTTATGTCTAATAAGCTTTGACACAGTTTCTACATAAGTGGTCTAGATTTAATCCATTAAAATAATACTGACCTGTGGGTTACTGCTTCTGTGCATTAAGGCGAGTTTGACACGCTGGTAAACGAAGGTACTGAATCCATGCACGAGGTGGACGCCATCATCTCCCACTTCAACTATAAACCAGTCACCTACCATAACGACATCGCCCTCATCAAACTGGCCACGCCCATCAAGTTCTCCAATTTTATCCTGCCTGCCTGCATACCAGAGATGGACTTTGCTGAGAAGGTGAACTTTTGTTTTAGTCACTGGTGTAAAGGTGTTAAATAAAATGTTTGAGTTCTTCAACAATAAAACTTTGGTATTTCTAGCATTTAGACTGGCTTTCTAATTCTAAAAAGTACTTGGACCATTGTTCACTACAGGCTACTCTACTGAACTTCATAATAACTACGTAAAACAGATCAAATATCTTTTTAAAACCTTAAATGATAGTCTTTGTATCACTGCTGTACTGTATTCCAATTTAATTTATTGTTCAGCATCTTTTGTTGCCAACAGGTCCTACAAGGTCTCCAGTAGTGCTACTTATGTAGCCACAAGGACACCGGAACCATCATTCACTTAATTTCCACTGAGGGTCTCAAAATATTTTTCATTGCAATTTTGTTTCGGGTTGTTTCCATTTGGCTAGCTCTGCTTTTCAGCTTTACATCACAGTTTAGTTTATGGAGGATTGTGTTAGCTCGGTCTGTCAGTGCCACGCGCCTGTAATCCTGAGTTCTATGGGCATCTGGCATAAAACAGTTGCCAAATCTTTCAAGCTAGGTTGCCAACCGGACCGTCGGTCCAATCAAACCTTTGTGTAGTTGACACTGAATGCAATAGTTGTTCTCAGGCTCAAGACAGAGGTGTCTGAAAGTATGCTGGTGTAAGTGAAATACAAAAATGACATGGCATAAAAACCGCAGTGGGTTTGACCTTCTTTGCTGTCGTCTAAATAGGGATTGCGATTACAGCAATACCATGTGAACGTAGAACTGTTTCACAGTCAACGTAAAAAAAATCTATGACATTTCAAAATGGTGAACATCTAAATTGGGCCTAACCTGTAAACCAAACTTCTAAGCACAAATAGTTTGAAGATTATAAAATCAAGTGACGTTACCTTCAGTTGGGCAATTTTCCTTGCGTCATGTTGCAGGTCCTGATGCGCCAGCCAGAAGGTTTGGTCAGCGGTTTTGGACGTCTTGGCGAGGGACGTCAAGCTTCCACCACCATGCAGCGCCTCTCTGTACCCTACGTGGATCGTCACACTTGCATGGAATCCACTCAGCTGCGAATCACAACACGCATGTTCTGCGCCGGCTACGACACAATAGCCAAGGATGCCTGCCAGGGCGACAGCGGCGGGCCGCACGTCACACGCTACCATGACACCTACTTCATCACTGGTATTGTGAGCTGGGGAGAGGGCTGCGCACGCAAAGGCAAATATGGTGTCTACACACAAGTGTCCAAGTATATTCAATGGATCCATAATGGCATCAACACACTGATGTCCACAGGGAAGAGCAGCAGACGAAAGAGACACCACGGCAACATCACAAGGCTGTATCTTTGAAATACCTGTATTCATACAGTGAGCAGAGATTAGTCATATTTTGTAAAATTACCTCTTAAAAAACAGAGACCATAACTAGCTGCTCACTTTAGCAGGCCAACATTAGCCCTAATGGAGTTCCTCAAGGCTGTAACCTCGGCCTCTTACATTTGTCTTTTTTCCTTTAGGCTACAAAGATGATTTAAGCATCTGAGGGACAGCAGAAAGATTTATAAACCAAAAACAAATCTGAATTTATTTTTATTTGAAGATGCTAGATTCAATAAATGTTTTATTTGTCCTTCGTTATCTCTGTCGTTTTTTATGTCCAGCTTTGTGATTGATTTGCAGACACATTCTGTTTTAAAACAAAGTAAACTGTCTCATTAAAGCTGAACTCCTGGTTTTCTAGCTATCCGTACAGAATTATTAAAAGTTTGGAATAATTTTAATGGTTGTTTTTATTACCAGTAGTTCAAATTAGCATTTGGGCCTGATCTGAAACAAATAAAATGAATATAAGACAACACTTTGTTTTTGTTATAGTAAACTATTTTTGTACAATATTGAATATGAAGGAACCCTTGACATGAAATTGGACTTCCACCTTTTTCTTTAAATGTATTTTCTACCTCCCAATGCGAAAAGGTCAGCAATAAAGTTTTGTCCTTGTGTGTCTGTTAGCAAAATATCTCATGAACCACTGGACATATTTTAATAAAACTCTCACAAAGTAATCAATGGTTGTGCACCTACAACACAATAACATTTGGAATTAAACTGATTTAAGGTGGCTGTTACAACTACTAAACATTAGCAAATACAAAAATGGAAGTAACTCAGTTCATTGTACAGATACTTGAGTTTAGATTTTACGTGGTAGTAGACTCATCTTGAAACATTTCTAAGGAATCTTCATTTATTTAGTAAAAAAAAAATTAATGAGTTTTTTTTTTTGGTTTGTTTCTGCTTGATTTTATTGCGGCATCAAACTTGTACTATAAACATTATTTTAAACAGCAGTTGTTTTTGCTGCTGCTGCCTGATGTGAATCTTATTAAATTATTGATCGGCGTGACAAAAGTCCCTTCATGTTTACCTGAAACAAACAAATCAGGTTTCAGAGGTCGAACCTTGTTTTTGTGTGACTTTAGAAGTTCAGAGTCCATAGCCGGAACAAAATGTTACCAAGAACTGGATTTTCTTTTTAACTCTTTAGAGAAACGGGTCAGACTCAAAAATGTCAAATTAAAACTATAAAAGCTTCCAGATCGACCTGGATCTGATTTGAAAGATGAATATCTAAAGAAGAGCAGGAAACAGATGGACTTTTAAAATAATGCTCAGATCTTGTGATCCAGACACGTTGAAAAGGTTGGTTGTGTGCAGACGGTTGTGAGTCTGCCGTGTACACACTCTCTGTTTATTGTGCGCTCAGCGTGATGGCGGTCGGCATCATGTCAGCGTCTCTGCTCGCTCTCGTTCTCCTCGGATGTTTACTCCAGACGTTTGGCCAAGGCCAAGGTAAGAGCTCGATATAAGTTTTTCCATTTTAAAGTAGAAACTGTTTTGTTGTCGTTCCAGATGAGATCATGAAAATGTTGAGTTTATGGCTTTTAAAACTCAACATATTTGATTCGTTTTAGTTTCGTTAAAATTAGGCTGCTCAGCGGAAAGAAACAAGAGAATTCAACAATTATTTGTGCCGCCATGACTCAACGTTTAAAACTCACATTTTTAACAAAAAAAAAGGCTTGTAAGCTCAATCATCCAGGTAGATAACAACCAAAAAAAAAAAGTTAAATCATGTCATCTGGACCAGTTTCTTTAAGTGAGAAATGTTTTGTCTCCCATCCAGAAGACTTAGTCAGTCTGCGGCCGGCCAACCAGAACTGTCCCATAGGTAGCCTTCATTACTGTGTTTCAAGCCAACCTACTATAGGTTGGCTTGTGAGTAGCAAGTTGGCCATCTAGCCTAAAACATTTAATAGTTATACATGATGACTGATTGTTTTGGACGGGTGGGCCCTGTTTGCATGTGTTAAAAGCCTACTTCTGAGATCCCACAGGAGGTTGGCTTGAAACACAGCAATGAAGGCTACCTATGGCACCATCTGTCCCAGATCTTCCAACCAATGTTTTTGCCAGAAATCCACCAAAAACAATGAAAAATGTCCCCATAGACATGAAAGTTACACTACCTGGCCAAAATAAAAGTAGCCACCTGGATTTAACTAAGCAAATAGGTACAAGCCTCCTATTAGATAATTGCTGTATGGGTGATTATCTTTCAGCTGGCAACAAGTTATTTAACCCCAACTGGTGCAATGAGTTGCTTCTCATTTCTTAAACAACCATGTTGGAAGACACATCGTGGAAAAGATGCCAGTCTGTTTGAGAAGAGTCAAATCATTGGCATCAAGCAGAGAAAACATCTAAGGAGATTGCAGAAACTACTAAAACTGGGTTAAGAACTCTCCAACGCATTATTGAAAACTGGAAGGATAGTGGGGACCCATAGTCTTTGAGGAAGAAATGTGGCCGGAAAAAAATCCTGAATGATCGTGATTGGCGATCACTTAAACGTTTGGTGAAATAAAATAGAAGAAAAATAACAGTATCACTTAAGGCTATGTTTAATAGTGAAAGTAAGAGCATTTCCATACGCACAATGTGAAGGGAACTCAAGGGATTGGGACTGAACAGCTGTGTAGCCTTAAGAAAACCACTAATCAGTGAAGCTACCCGGAAAAAAAAGGCTTCAATTTGCTAGGGAGCATAAAGATTGGACTCTGGAGCAATGGAAGGTCATGTGGTCTGATGAGTCCAGATTTACCCTGTTCCAGAGTGATGGGTTCATCAGGGTAAGAAGAGAGGCAGGTGAAGTGATGCACCCATCATGCCTAGTGCAGAGTCATCAATGCAAGATCTTGGTGAAAACTTAATGCAACACTGGATGGAAATAGATCTTGTGACATTACAGAAGCTTATTGAAACAATGAAACAGGGAATGCATGATGTAATCAAAGTTAAAAGCGATCCACCGAAATAATTAGTGTGATCTTTTTTTGGTGGCAACTTTTTTTGGGCCAGGCAGTGCATTTAATAAAAGTTAGTAAACCCACTCAAACTTAACAGCAGAAACATCATTCAAAGTTTAAACGGGTCCAAGAAAGTCGGGCTTTACATAACTGGACTGCTATCTTCAGATCTTAAAACACTTCTTACAAAATGAGTTGAAGCTGGAGGCTTATGGGAGATTTTACCACTGAATGTTTGACTTGCAAACAAACGCTGCTTCACCATCCGTTTGTAGGTACATTTGTCTTCTTTCATCCATTGTCTCTCTCTGCTGTAGGACTGATGGTTTTCTCTTAAACCCCCTTAGAGGTAAGAGGTCACACCCAAACCCATTGACTTCCACTGTTTTTGAGCTCAGAATCTTCAGAATCAGAATCTGCCGCTTACAGTCAAGATCCGACTTGTATTTTCCCACAAAGACTGTTTGTCTGAGGCTTACTTTTTACTCTGTATTTCTGTGTAAAGTGCTGCCCTTTCCTGGGAATCGCCATGGTTTGATTCCATCATGGCTACCCACATAGATCTTGAAAATTTCAGACTTAATATCATCTCAAATCAGACGTCGATGTTCAGGAGACTTTAGTTAGGTAGTCGGAGGATTTGCGTTTCTTGCGGAGGCGCTACGATTTTGTGGCTTGTGTGTTTGCAGTGTTTCGTCGGTCTCCTGAGGCACACGCCGTGTTCCTGCGGACCAAACGGGCCAACCAGTTCCTGGTGGAGGAGATCCTGAAGGGGAACCTGGAGAGGGAGTGCTTCGAGGAGCAGTGCAACTACGAGGAGGCGCGAGAAGTGTTCGAAGACGACGCCAAGACGGTGCGTTCGAAACGGTAAACTTCTGAACCAGGAACAGTTTGATTATAAACGATTGTTTGTGTCTCCGCAGCTCACCTTCTGGACCGTTTACCGCGGTATGTCTGAACCATCGTCATACTTTGAGATGGGCTTTCCCTTGAGAACGCCCTCCGTCATTCCGGACCAAATATTTTCTCGTTGAGGAGTTAATTGTTCTTGTTTATGGTTTTTCTGAGATGGGGACCAGTGCAAACCCAACCCCTGTCTCAATGGGGGGAACTGCACCGATAAGGTGGGGGGGTTCATCTGCTCCTGCAACATTCCCTACTACGGACCCATCTGTGAACTGGAAACACCTGAAATGGGAGAACAGACGATACCTGACTCGCAACCACATGCACCAGGTTTGACCACACCCACAGCTGAGTGGAAGGGCGGGGCCTATAAAACCATACGCCATGGTGTGTTCAGGGGTCTTCAGGTTCAGGAGCTCCTTGTAGGTAAAACTTTCCCCATCTAAAAAAAATACCTTCCCGTTTGTCTCAGAAATATCCGAGTGTCCAACAAAAGGCCCGACAGCATGTCACCAGCTGTGCACGGCTGCCTTTGACTCGTTCACCTGCTCGTGTATGTCTGGATTCAAACTACAGAGTGATGGGCGGAGCTGTCTGCCTGAAGGTTAGAACCCACACAGACAGTTCCATATTTGCCAAAACTGTCTCAAACCTGTGAATTTACATCCTTACGTCCACAGTGGAATTTCCTTGCGGTCGACTTCCTGATGCTTCCGTCTGTCACCACAGAAACTGTCCCTGGCAGGTGAGATGCTCTCAGCCAATCACTTGAGCAGAAAATTAAAACATGGATAAGCAACATTCCTGTTTGGTTTGTTTTGTGTATCTAGGTGTCCCTGACAAACAGCATGGGAGTGGAGCTCTGTGGTGGTGTGGTGCTAGGTCGCCGCTCCGTCCTGACCGCTGCCTCCTGCCTCTACCTCAACTCTGGGCCTGACCTCCGACCTTCACACTTCTTTGTGCTCATAGGTATGTTGATGATGTTGATCATGATCATCAGGCCAGGACTCTGCAGTCTACACTCATATCCAGGCCAGCGGTCACTCTATCAGGGATGAAGATGTTCACATCCTTGATAGAGAGGAATGATGGTTTGAGAGAGGAGTAAAGGAGGCCATCTTTGTGAAAAGAAACGGTCCATCATTAAACAGGGGTGGAGGCCTCCATGTTCAACTGTCCCCCTCTTACAATGCTGTTATTGCTAGTATCACTCAGCCTCCTGTGAATAGTAAACAGCCATCAGTGTGCTAATGATCCATTGTTAGGCTGATGGTCCTTCTTGATTATGTGAACAGCTGGTTTGGTTGTCAGCAGCAAAACTGGTTGATCCACTCTGAGAAAGTGCTATTTATAAGACTGAGCTGAATACAGCTCCTCAGACTGAGGAAGTCTTTCGGATGAAAGATGAAACGTTTCTTTTTTTTTTTTAATGTCCAGAGGACCAGATTCAACTTTTTTAGATATATATAGCATTAGCTGCAGAGCTGATACACACAGTGCCTTGTGAAAGTATTCGGCCCCCTTGAACTTTTCAACCTTTTGCCACATTTCAGGCTTCAAACATAAAGATATAAAATTTCAATTTTTTGTGAAGAATCCTCAAGTGGGACACAATCGTGAAGTGGAATGAAATTTATTGGATGTGTCAAACTTTTTTAACAAATAAAAAACTGAAAAGTGGGGCATGCAATATTATTGGGCCCCTTTACTTTCAGTGCAGCAAACTCACTCCAGAAGTTCAGTGAGGATCTATGAATGATCCAATGTTGTCCCAAATGACTGATGATGATAAATAGAATCCACCTGTGTGTAATCAAGTCTCAGTATAAATGCACCTGCTCTGTGATAGTCTCAGGGTTTTGTTCAAAGCACAATGAGCATCATGAAGACCAAGGAACACACCAGGCAGGTCCAAGAGACTGTTGTGGAGAAGTTTAAAGCTGGATTTGGATACAAAAAGATTTCCCAAGCTTTAAACATCCCAAGGAGCACTGTGCACGCAATCATATTGAAATGGAAGGAGTATCAGACCACTGCAAATCTACCAAGACCCGGCCGTCCCTCTAAACTTTCATCTGGAACAAGGAGAAGACTGATCAGAGATGCAGCCAAGAGGCCCATGATCACTCTGGATGAACTGCAGAGATCTACAGCTGAGGTGGGAGAATCTGTCCATGGGACAACAATCAGTCGTACACTGCACAAATCTGACCTTTATGGAAGAGTGGCAAGAAGAAAGCCATTTCTCAAAGATATCCTTAAAAAGTGTTTAAAGTTTGTCACAAGCACCTGGGAGACACCAAACATGTGGAAGAAGGTGCTCTGGTCAGATGAAACCAAAATCAAACTGTTTGGCCACAATGCAAAACGATATGTTTGGAGTAAAAGCAACACAGCTCATCACCCTGAACACACCATCCCCACTGTCAAACACGGTGGTGGCAGCATCATGGTTTGGGCCTGCTTTTCGTCAGCAGGGACAGGGAAGATGGTCAGAATTGATGGGAAGATGGATGGGGCCAAATACAGGACCATTCTGGAAGATAACCTGTTTGAGTCTGCAAGAGACCTGAGACTGGGACGGAGATTTATCTTCCAACAAGACAATGATCCAAAACATAAAGACACATCTACAATGGAATGGTTCACAAATAAACATATCCAGGTGTTGGAATGGCCAAGTCAAAGTCCAGACCTGAATCCAATCGAGAATCTGTGGAAAGAGCTGAAGACTGCTGTTCACAAACGCTCTCCATCCAACCTCACTGAGCTCGAGCTGGTTTGCAGGAAAGAATGGGCAAGAACTTCAGTCTCTCAATGTGCAAAACTGATGGAGACATACCCCAAGAGACTTGCAGCTGGAACTGCAGCAAAAAGCGCTACAAAGTTTTAACGCAAGGGGGGCGAATAATATTGCACGCCCCACTTTTCAGTTTATTTGTTAAAAAGTTTGACACATCCAATAAATTTCATTCCACTTCAGGATTGTGTCCCACTTGTTGTTGATTCTTCAGAAAAAAAATTTTTTTTATATCTTTATGTTTGAAGCCTGAAATGTGGCAAAAGGTTGAAAAGTTCAAGGGGGTCGAATACTTTCGTAAGGCACTGTGTATAGCATTAGCTCCAGAGCTAAAATATATAGCATTAGCTCCAGAGCTAAAATATATAGCATTAGCTCTAGAGCTAAAATATATAGCATTAGCTCCAGAGCTAAAATATATAGCATTAGCTCCAGAGCTATAGTATAGCATTAGCTCCAGAGCTAAAATATATAGCATTAGCTCCAGAGCTATAGTATAGCATTAGCTCCAGAGCTAAAATATATAGCATTAGCTCAATAAATTAAACATCATGTTGATCACATTTGATTGTTTTAACCAATTTATTGTGCATAAGGACTAATATTTTATTGTCCCGTTATAACTTTTTAGCCTCGACTACAACCAATGTACATCATCGCTCCAGAATGCATTGCGTCTGTAAAATAATGGTTACATCCTTAGGTGGAAAAAAGTAATAAACATCTATAATTTTTTAAAGTGATTAGTTTTCATGTGTCACAAACAACTTTTAGTAGATGAGAGAAATAACATATTTAGTCCAATATGTGTAATAGTTGGAGATACCTTTAAAATAACAGATTAATTTACATGTTGATGTCTCCTAGGCAACAAGAAGCTCTTCTCAGTCCAAGCCTTGTACCTCCACGACCGCTTCAGTTTAAATCACCACGACTACAATATCGCTCTTCTGCAACTGGCCACGCCTCTACTCTTTGGCCCCACCCTCACTCACCTCTGCTTACCCACTAAAGATTTCAGCGAAAACGTCCTGATGGATTCCGGGAGAAAAGGCGTGGCAGATAGCGGGGGGCGTGGTCAGAGCTCGGACCTGGTCTACGTGACGTTGGACGAGTGTCACAGGCAGCTGAACGTCTCACACCCGCTCAGCAACAAAATGTTCTGCATGAAGAGTCAAACAGAACCTTCGTGGAGGAACGTGAACGTTTTTTCCGAGAATAAAACCAGACCGTCGGTGGATCCGAACATCACCTCAAGTTCAAAGAGGCCTTTAGGGAACCAAAATATTGGCACTTTAAACAGGACTCAGACTCAGATCCAGATTCACCATAACACCACTTCAAGGAATCACGAGGCACCACACGGTGGCAGGTGGAGGTCAAAGGTTAGCAGTCTGTGTGGCAGCTTGTTGCCGGGGTCGCCGGTTGCTACGGTGGAGAAAGGAACAGCGTTTCTGACCGGACTGCTGATCTCATCGTCCTCAGGTTGCGACGGTCAGGTGTTCACCAAAGTGTCCCGTTACTTGAACTGGATCAGACCGAGACTGCTGAGAGCAGAGGATCACATGACCCCCCAACTCAGCCAGTATCCCCAGGAACTCATCAGCCAAGACAATACGGTTTTCTGAGCACTGACATTTAAACTTTCTCTTCTGAGCTACAAACACTAAGTTTGATGTTTTTACTGTGTTAAAATGTATGTGAATTGTGTAAAATAAAATGTTTTTAAAAACAATGCCCATTACAGAAGTCCCTCGATTATCACGGGGGTTACGTTCCACACACCACCGCGATAACCGCGACGTAGGACCGCTATATTTATTTTAGCATTGATATTTATATTTTAAGGCTTTAGAAACCCTTACCACTAGGGGTGCACCGATTGCAGTTTTCTAGATGATCACCATTCTCTAAAAAGTCTGACCTTCCGATTTTGGCGGATACCGATTGTGTTTTATAAGCGACACTGTCAGGAGTTATAAGGTCACAATGCACCTTCAATCTTCCAATATTGTTATTGAAAAACATAACCTTGAACAATATCCTAGAAACAATACAAACTTGTTTTAACTGGCCATGAGGTAGTGCTCTGAAATATAAATGAAGTTTAGACAATTGTTGTTAAAACTATAAAAATCTAAAATCGGTTTCTCACATAAGTATTGATTGATCGACGATCTCCCAAAATTAAGGAAATTGGGGCACGCCCCTACTTCCCACACTCTTTTAAAGTTCGAAACTCTTAAACCAACGTAATTTTAACAACATACGTATATATACTGCACAGCACTGCAAAATTTTATGTGTACTCACCAGCTCTGCAGACCAGCAGCTCTGTTCCGGTCGGTCTCGGTTCTAGTTCAGCAGACCTACCCTGCAGCAAGACGAAGCCCACCGCCCCGTCCAGGTTGACGTGCGCGTGGATAATTGAGCTTCAAGATTATTTGCGACTTTCCTGCCAGTTCTCTGAGCTTCTATGATTGTCATTTCTGACTTTGCGTTGCAAAACTTTCCCTTCATTTCGGCAGAAAGCAGCAGTTGGAAGCACTGTTGGTTTCTGGGTAATGTAGTTCTTTTGACTTGCGTTACAGTATAGGCTTATTGAAAGAAAACTACAAAATGGCGGTGCCTGTTTAAAGTTTTTTCGTTAACTTATAATCCTGCACCATTCCAATCAGGTGAGTAATTTTAAAGTTGATAATCACGTATCGTGTACAATCTTACGCTGAAAAAACGCGAAAAAGTGAGTCCGCAAAAATCAAACAGTGAAGTAGTGAGGGACAGAGCTGTCATTTCTAACCCGGGCCCGAAGCCATGATAATGTGTTGGATGGGCAGGCCAGGTCAGTGTTGGGCTTTTGCTTGCGTCAGCGAATCAGCCGCGATCCAATTATATGACAACATTGCTTGCCATACATCACCAGCCGCACGCATTTCACCACAAACTGATCGGCCTTGAGGTAAAATTAAGTTCAGTTAAGTTTCAGACGGGACTATACTGTCAGGAAGCGATCCATCACCCAAATGGACGTTCATTCAGCCGCTGCACTCAGTGGACGTGGCGCGGCCGACGACCCAAACAGGTGAGATTCCAAAGCAGACATGTCCGAGCAGGGTCCATGTCCGAATAATGCAGAATACAGGCAGAAACAGGGTTTAAATGCGCTTTGATGGCCATGAAAGGACAAACACCCCCTCAGCTCCGATCTTCCGCCCCTATTATTCAGCCGCGCGTCACCGCGGTAAAGTTAAGTTTTACGCTAGACATTCGAGCTCCTGGCTTCAGCGGTGTGTTCCTCTCGTTCGATCCGATGCAGGCAGTCGGATTTCGGTCAGACGAACTCGAAGGAGAGGAAGACACCGCTGAAGCCACAGAGCTAGAATGTCCAACGTAAAACAAATTTAACCACGGTCCACACGTCCACTGACCGTTAATAACTATAAGCAGTGTTTGGAAATGATGGCTACGGGCTGGGTCGGATCGGATTTTTGGGGGTCGAATGCAACTCTAGCGAGGGACTACTGGATCACAATCAATTACAAACACGCTTTGAAAAACACAAAATGTTTTATTCAACAATACTTTTAAATAATAAAAAAGCTTCCAGGAGGGCGTGTCAGCCTAGAGGGATTGTGGGTAATGTAGTCTAGGAGACAGAGGACAGAGGAGGGAATGGGTTTTGTTTACTGACCACGAGCTTCTGGTGCTGATGGGAGATGTAACCTTTAATGTGACCCTGAAAACACAGAGGAATCAGTCTGGGTTCACCTGGATCCAGGTGTGGGTTCACCTCTGCGTGCGCTCACCATGTAAATGAGGTTGGCCAGGATGCATTGCACCTCGTCAATGTCGACGTCCTCCACCTGCATCATCTTCAGAGCCACCAGGAAGGCGTCCAGAGGCAGCTGGTGCGTCTTCAGCAACAGATACCTGCGGACAGTCAGAGGTCGCGGAGGTCAGTAAACAAAAATCATTCGTTTTAGTCAATGTCACTGAAAATGTTCTGAATACTCCGTTAGTAAACCTGGACACACTCACACTTTCTTGAAGAGGTTCCTGTATGTGATGATCTTCAGCTTCTCCAGGATGAGGAAGATCCCGCAGCGGATGAAGAAGGTCTCGTGTTTGGACAGAGCCTCATTCAGCAGCAGCAGGTTCCCCTCGCTGACAAACACAAGGGTACCCGAGGTCACGTGACTGTGTGATGTCACGTCCCGTTTCTGTGTCCCCCCCACCCCCCCCCTGCTTACCTTACAGCTTTGGTGACATCAGCAAACTGCATGAGGTCGTACTTCCTGAGGAGCTGAGGAGTCGGCATGTGACCCTGAAACACCAGCAACAACCTGAAGTCACTCTGGGAGGACTGGAAACCACTTAGAGACCAGATGTGAACTTAAAGCGAATTAAACCAAATATTTAGTTTATTGTTTAGAGTTGGGATTTCTAACAGCCACGTTTCAGTGGATTTCACTTAGTTGATGTTGTCTAATCACAACCTGAGCAAGAGTCTATATGAGATCTATTAAATCTTAAACTAATAGGACCTTTTTTTGAAACTGTTTCTTACTGAAACACAATTAGACTTTAAAATAATCTCTGCACATATTTGGCTTTATTATGTAATTTCTTCACTCGACAAAATGTTGTCGTTTGTGACGCATGAAAACTCCCAATTACTTAAAAAATAAATTTAAGTTCATTATGTTTTTCACTCAAGGACGTCACCATTATTTTACAGATGCAATGCATTCTGGGGCAATGACATACATAGGTTGTAATGGATACTAAAACACAAGGAGTCGAAGCTAAAATTTATAACATGAAAATAAAGTCATTTATAGTTTTAGTCCATATGCACAACAAATCGGTCAAAATAATTGAACATGATCAACTTGCGTTTCATTTATTAGCTCCGGAGCCAACATTTTATATATATATATATTTATATACTGAAGAAGCCCTTTGGATGAAACGTCTCAGCAAAAAAAGAAAACCCTCCGGATGACCTGACTGAACATTGTTAAACAGCATACAGTATTTTTATAGTCTCGTTTTTATAGCTGAAGTATTCATTAATAAATAAGGTTTGTTTTTTTTTTACCTTGAAATCTTAATTTCATTAATTTTTGGTTAGTTTAAATCTGTTTCTGTCATTTTAATATTTTAAAGATTATCCAGCGCATACATTTTTCTGATGCCATTTTCTGACGTTGACCCAAGTTAGCTGGAGCTAATTCTTATTTATGACCGCGTAAATCCATTTAACTGATTTTCTTTTTAAATTAAAGCAGTACCAATGTGTTGTACACAATATAACAATAATCTAAAAAAGAGGGTTTACAGCAGGGTTATTCAACTGGCGGCTCAGGGGCCGAATCAGGCCCAAGGATGAATTCATTTTGGCCCATCAACGAGTTTATTTTGAAATAAAACTAGATGTAAAACCATAAAATAAACTTAATGACAAGAACTGCTGGATGTCCGCCCCCTGAGCTCTTGGCTTTCAGTAACTGTGGCATTTCAGTTTAATTTTCAAATCATAAATCGCGATTAACCGAGGTTTTAAACCGGTATGAACTCGTTTGATTAGAACTGATTTACAGGTGTTGAGTTACTAACCAGCAGCATTTTAACTGGTAGCAGGTAAATCAGGATCATTCTCTTGTTCTTCTGGCTGGAGCGGTGACAGTGATGGAAGGCGTAAGACAAGAACTCCTCCGCTGAGGAAAGAAAACATCGGGTTTATGGTTTAGTTTGCGCTGCGGTCCGGTTTTTATTCCTCCGGAGCTTGAATTATATTTAAACCAGAGCTGGACGGCAGTTTTACCCGTTTGAAAGTCGCTGTCGAACATGGCTTTTCGGCCCACGTAGTATTTGTAGGTGACCTTCTGAGCCGGGCTGTAGTCGTTCTTCAGGGTGGAACTGTCAATGGCTCGAATCAGAGGTTTGCACAAGTGCAGCTTATTAATCTGTGGCATAAGAGTCGTTAATCCGTTATTTCATTCAGCAGGAAACAACACACAGGCCTCTAAAGACGGGAGTAAAAACCTTAAAGTAGATCTTGAAGAGCTGGTTGCTCAGAAACATCATCCCCCACTTCTTGGAGTCCTCGATGCCCGCTCGACTTTGAAACGGGAGATTAAATTAGAACTGAGGCAAGTGTTCTGTTTTTTTTTTTTTTTTTTTAAATGTCAGAAATAATAAATAAACTGTAAAATTTGGAGTACGGTAAGTCGTTTTGGTTTTGAAAAAGCGTCAGATTAAAAACATTTACAGCCGTCGGTTAAATCAGTCAGGGAGAATAATCTAGATTTGGAAAAACGGGTTAAATTGTACGGTAGCTGCGCATGGTCAGGTTTTAATAAGAGCAAATTAAAATTATTTACAACCGTACAGTTGGATGGATGTGTAAATCATTTCACAAAATTTTCAGATTTAATAAAACATCAGATTAAATTTTTTTTTTCAACCGTACGGTGAATCGAAGTTTTCTGGTTTAATTAAAATGGTCAAATTAGGATTTCAACCACAAAATAAACCAGGAACGGTAAGTTTGCCTTCATTTTTTTTACCGTATGGTAAATTACGCAGGACAAGTTCATTAAATAAATGATGGTAAATTTTTCTAGTTTTCTAACTGAATAATAAAGCATACAGGGAAAGTTTTCTGGTATTATAACCGTACGGTAACTCAAAAAAGGAGTTTTCTGGTTGTTTTCCTGTACGGTAAATAACACAATAAACCTTCAAGTTTTATAGTTGAATAATAAATCGCACAGGGCAAGATTTCTGGTTTTATAACTGTGTTATAAATCACACAGAAAGTTTTCTGGTTATATATATTGGTACGATAAAGGTCAGTAAATCTTTTGGTTTTTAACTGTACAGTGAATCACAAATTTGGAAAAACAATTTTTAAACAATTTTACAAGTTTTTGGTTTTCCACTTTACGGTAAAATCACACCGGGCAAGCGTTCTGGTTTTATAACCATACGGTACATTAAACATGGTAAGTTTTCTGGTTGTATTACAGTACAATAAATTACACAAGACGTATCCTGGTTTTATAAAAGTAAAATAATAATAATTTAATAATAACGGTGTACATAGTCTACTGACTTGTCGCTGGCGCAGATTCTGAAACAGCTCATTAACTGCTCAGCTGCTTTCTCCAACATTTCTCCTGGTTGTCCTTTTCCTTTCTTCTGCAACTGCTGCTCGGCCTGAACAAATCCAGAATCAGAACCAGATCAAAACACATCCAGACAAGTAGGCATCTCTGCAGACAAAAACAGAAGGCGTATCCAGAGGGCCACATCTGATTGGACAATAGAAAAATGGGCGTATTTAGAGGGCCACATCTGATTGGACGATAGAAAAATGGGCGTATCCAGAGGGCCACATCTAATTGGACGATAGAAAAATGGGCATATCTAGAGGGCCACATCTGATTG